CCCCCCCCCCCCCCCCTCCTTTTCCATGTCGTCGCCAACGCCAACGTTTTGTGAAACAGACGGTCAAGCTGAAGTGGCTGCAGAACTGCGTCCTCGCCATCGACCCCACGGAGGCCACCATCCGGGCACACCTGCCCGTTGTCCTCCGGCAGCTCAAGGGAGCCCTCACCACCTCCACCCCTATCATCTCCCAGCGCGGGGGAACCGACGTTGCTGTAGTGCGTCTCACCACACATGTCGTTAACAGCCTGGCGTCCATGTTGCCGCCCGCGGGGTCAGAAGCCGTTGCCTTGTAATGAGTGCGTTTGTGTGCAGGGGGTTTCTACGTTGTGTTCTGGAGGAAGGAGGGAACGCGTTTGTGTCTGCCTGGGGGGGCTCTTGTAAATGATAGGGGCCGGGGCTCATTTTGGGGGGCGGGTGTCTTGTGTTGTGTCTTGAGCGCGCTTGCTTGGGGTCGCAGTTTAGGTGCGTGTTTCGCCTTTTTTGTCTGGGGTTTGTCGTGGAAAGGCATGAGAGTTTGCTGTGCGATGAATCTGTCCGTGGTAAGCGTTTGATCCTGTTAGGTTGTTGGTAGGGCCTGACGCAAGAGGTCGACTGTTTCTTTGAGAACATTTTTGGTTGTTGTTATTCCGACGAAGGGTCGTGTGGATCACGGTGGTTTGGTTTGCGTGTCTGTTGCGGGAGGTAGCTTGGGCAGGGAAAGGAATTTCTTGCAGGAGTGCAAGTAGAATGCGCTAACTACATGGTGCTCTATTCAAGAGCCCACGCTTTTTTCGCCGTGAGCTGTAGGTGGATTTGCATGGTACAACAGGAGAGGATTAGGGTGGGTTTCTCTTTTAGGGCTATGTAGCGAAAGGTCTTCCGGTGTCAGACCCCAGTCCTTTTCCTTCTGTTCTTCCTTCGTTGGGTTAAGTTCAGACCAGGCGAGGGTGTGATGGTGCGATGGTGCGATGGTGTCGGTGCACATAAGAGAGAGATGAACTTTGCTTTGGATATGTGCTTTGACGTGGGCGGCTGCGTTCAACAATTTCTAGTGATGCTGCCGTCAACCTGCTCACTTTGTCACCCACGGCGAAAATCCAGATTTCGAATTTCGCCGAAAGGCGACGTCATGACCGTGGATGATGTCATTGGTCGACCATGGGATTTTGGACCACAGGGATATCTCGGCCACAAAAGTTTGTCAATCAGAAAACTGCGGCCACCTTTTCTCTCCCTCTCTTCGCGTGTCCGGTGTGGTTCCTACCTTAAGTGCTGTCGAACGGTGCGTCTTAGAATGGCTTGATGAAAGCTGCATAACACTGCCGCAGTAAGTATTTTGAGGTTTGTTGGCTAGTTGGTTGCCTACACAACAAGGGAGGGGCGGCAGTGCGTTGGGTCTTGTGTAATCTGCCGGTATAGTCAAGTCCACAGCCAGCCTTCGGTGACGAAACCTCCACCTGTGACTGAGCGGCACGTTCGTAGTATGCTGATATGTGGCCTCCTGCGTATTTGGATACGCATATGACCGTGTGTTTGGACGTGTGCGTGCGCGGTTCCACATTTTCGGGAGTAGGGCCACCGGCTTTATCATGGCGGCTGGACAACAAGCTATTTTGGACAATCGCACGTATCTGGTAGGGGACACAGCCGTAGCTGTGCTATGTTAGGTCCAGACACTCTGTTGGTTGATGCCATACGACCCACCGCACTACTAGTGCCGCCGCCCCCCTCTTTCTCC